CGTACATGTTTGAGCCCTTGCCTCGCAACGCTGCCAGTTCTGTTAGCTCTACGCCTGCTGAAGACACAGACGTCCATCCCCGTGAACACTGGGACGGAACTCAATGGAAAAGGAAATTATTCTTATTTCTTATTTAACTGTTACGTATATCAGCTGTGACTCATGAATCAAGATGCTATGACTGAAAAAATTTGATTGACAGATGATTGTTGATATATGATACGAATTTAGGTGTTCAAGCTGACGTATGACTAACTGGCCTGCATAAGATAACGGAAAAAAAAACACAGATTTTAAGACAGGATTTTTTATTTTTTTTTTTAGATACAAATTTTCTATATTTTGGGACAATATCGTCTGATAAAGAATACATTTATATACATGTTTAAACCAGAATGAATTGAATTTCAAATATGACTTTCCTACGACTTTAAAGCCTAGTTAAAGCATGACACAGCAAAATGTGTGGAAAAAAGTTAAACAAAGTTTGTTGGTGAGACAGTGTTGTTTATTTTTACCCAAGATGTACAATCTTACCAAAGCATGAGGAAATGCATGAAAAAAACCTGACTTCAAATACAGCTAGATGTTCTATGATAATCTAAGCTCTGTTTTAATCAGTATTAACATCTTCAAATAGCTTTATTTTAAGGTTTTTAAGTCAACTCTTTGTGGTTAAAGAGTTGATTTATTTTATTTTAAGCAACCTAAACATTTATAAGTCAGTTTAGACTGAGTAACCAAAGTTAAACCGAGTTGGAAGAATTTAAATAAAACTTGGTAACATGCTTGTTTTGCGGCCAATATAATTTCGATATAAAACAGTATTCTGGGTATTGTCCCAGAATAATTGTCTGCTCTCTGGCTTAACTCAAGGGCAACAGAAACAGGTTTGGACAAGATATTCACATCACTTCTCATTTTGTCCTTCATCCACCACTCGCTGATCCACAATCTCTCTGCTTCTTTTCCAGCTAACATAAATTATATTTTCGTTCTTCTCACTCCTGTCTGCAAACTCCAAATCTCCAAATTACAGCTTGAATTAAAAATGTTCTTCCACTCATTCCTCCAAATCGTCCGGTCCGTTCCTGTGTCCAAACCCAAAGCTTCTCATCAGACGCCCACTAATTCTGTTTAACAGATGTTGCCAAAGCATGTGTCTCTCACTCACACCCCTCCAAAGCCTTCACGCTCCTCATCCCGGTCGTAATTAAGGGCTTAGCCCAGAGCTGCTTCAGTGTGCCAACTGTAAAACATAAATGCATCACCGGGAGATGGCAACAGAGTGGCGTCACAGAGGGCCCTTTTGGACTGATCGCTACTCGCTGTAGCTAAGAGGACATCAACAGATGCCAGAGCGACAGACGTACAGAGCGAGGAAGGGGGAGGGGGAGAGATTAGGGCAGCAAGAAGACGAGGAGAGCGAATGAATTAGTGAACATATTGCACATTATAACCCTCATCAGAGCTGTGAAATACTCTCACAGTCAGAACTGGAAGCTGAGGTGCTCACAGCCGGCGGTGTGGTGGGTGGCGGCGGGTCCATGCGTATGTATGCATGCACAAGCACATATTGCTGCTCTGACACTAAAGTCAGCTAGAAGCTTCTTCTAGAGCAGAGAGAGAGGGGTGAAAAGTTTGCTTGATTAATTATTTCAGCACAGAACACTTTAGGATTTTTAACTAACACCTGTGTTCTTACTTACATCTCATCTCTCATCACTTTATTTCCTTAACGAAACTCCTACGGCAAAAAAGTAGAAAGGAAGACACTTTTTATCTCTATTTTCTATTGTGTT